GGTTTGACCCCCTCCCCCCCGCCGCACCTGTAGCCCATCCGCTCGAGGTATACTTTGAGGCAGCGGGTCGCGGAGATGGCGAGCGTGTTGCCCCCCAGCAGCTGCTGCACCCGCCACTCCATAACGGCCAGCGCCTGAGCATCCAGCCCCGCCGCCGCCGCGACCTCCTCAGCGCGCGGCGCGCCGTCGGCGCCCTGGCTCTGCGCCGCGCAGAGGCGGAGCGCGGCGCCGGCGACGAGCGGCAGAAGCTCAGCGGGCGCCGCCTGGGCGGCGCACATGGCGCGGTCGAGCAGCAGCACGGCATCGTGGCTGATCTCGTCGGTAAGGCCGAGAGCGGCGCCGGCCTCCAGCACGCGCGACACGAGGGCGGTGCGCTGGGACGGGGCGGCAAGGGTGGGGGGGTGAGGGGTGTGTGTGGGAGGAGGCCGGGGCCAGGGGCGTCGGCGGCGCGAAAAGCCACCGCAGTAGGCGCCGCCGTAAGCTGTCAAAGCGCGGCAAAAGTAGAAGGAAAAGCCCCGAAAAGCCCTGAGAAAGCCCCCTCCCCTGCACACCTGTCCGAGGTAGTCAGTGCCCATGTCAGCCAGCTGCAGCTTGTGGCCCGCCTCAAACTGCGCCACCGCCGCAAACGCCTCGTGGCACTGCCCGCGCGCCGCCGCCTCGCGCGCGAGCACCGCCCCCGCGTCTGCCGGCGCCGCGTCCGCGGCGGGCAGCAGCGACGAGAGCTGCGCCGCGAAGGCGTCCGTCCCGACCCACGCCGCCACGGCGGCGCGCGGCGCCTCGAGCGCGCCTGCGGCGGCGCCGCCGGCGCGGTCGGGCGGCGGCCGGAAGGGCGCGCCCCAGAAGGCCATTGTCGCCGCCACCGCCTCGCGCACCGCAAAGTTGCCCTGCTCCTTGCTGGCGCCCGCGGCGTCCGTCACGATGGCCAGCGTCGGCGGCAGCGCGGCCTCGCCGCAAACGGCGACCGTGTCGCTGCGGTTTGGGGGGGGGGCGGGGTTGAGGGCGACTGCGTTTTGAGCGCACGCGTGCCGGGCAGGGGCCGCTTCTTCCAAAACCCTGCGTGCGCGGGCAGCGCTGCTCGCTTTGTGCGCGAGCGGGGCCGCAGCGCCAAAGCGGGCGGCGCGGGGGCACCCACCGCAGGTCGCAGAGCCAGAGGCACAGGCTGACCACCGCCACGCCGGCCGTGAGGGCGTGGAGGTTGAGCTCGCACCGCGCGCCGCCCTGCGACAGGCAGCAAAGCGGGCCGCCGACGGGGCCGCTGGGCGCCGTGCTGCGGCCGCCGGTGCGGGCGCAGCCGGCGGCGGCCGCGGCCGAGAGGCGGGGGGAGCGGAGGTGGCCCTGCTCCACCGCCAGGTGGAAGAGCTCCAAGGCCTTGGCCTGCGCGCATTGGGTTCATTGCATTTGGACGCGTCGGCGGCTGGTCGGATCGGCGCAACTCGGTTGCGAGGGTGGGCGCACGTGGTGGGGCTGCGCAGAGCCGCAATGCGGCGGAATGGTTCAGCGAAGCAGCGCACGTGGTGGGGCTGCGCCTGGGGGTCCTTCACTCCCTGCTGCTGCCAGTCGCGCGGCGTGCTTCACGACCGACCCCCCAAAACACACTCATACGCACGCGCAAACGCACCTGCGCCCACACAACGCCCGTCTGCCACAGCGCGTCGATGATGGCGTTGAACACGATCGCGTCCGGCTTGCAGCCCTGCGCCAGCATGCGCTGGAACGCGGACAGCGCGAGGTGCCACTGGCCGCCCCTTTCGTAAGCTGAGATGAGGGAGGTGTAGGTCACCACGTCGGGCGCGCAGCCGGCGGCCTGCATCTGGTCAAACACGGCCTGCGCCTTCTCCCACTGGCAGCCTGGGGGGGGGGGGGGGGGCGTGGCGTTTGGGGGGGGGGGGGGGGGGGGGGGGGGGGGGGGGGGGGGCGGGGGGGGGGCGGGTTTGAGGGCGCGCAAGGGGCGAGGGGCCGAGCGGAGGACGCGGGCGCCGCGGCACGGCGCGGCAAACAGCAGGCGGGCGGCAGGGGCTGGTGCAAGGCCCAAGCGAGCGCCACGCAGCTCAAGGCGCGCTAAAGGAGGGCCGCGCACCCTGCCCGCACGCGGTGATGAGCGAGTTGTAGGTGACCGTGTTTGGCGAGCAGCCGTCGCGCGTCATGTCCTCGAACAGCTGCAGCGCCGCCTCCCAGCGGCCCGCCTTTTCGCAGGCGCTGATGAGGGAGCTGTAGGTTATGACACTGCGCTCGAGGCCCTTCCAGACCATGTCCTTGTAGACCTGGGGGTGGTGTTGGTTGTGGGGGGGAGAAGGGGAGGTTTCGGGAGGTTTCAGGTGCGGGGCGGGGGGAGTTTCGCGCCGCGGAGCGGCGTCGTGTGCGTTTGCACCCACAGGTGAGCGGGGGAGGCGGCGCGCAAGCTCCGACAGGGCGGTTCCCCGCCGCTGCTGCAACCCGCCTAAAGCGGCGCCACAAACGCGCTTTCGCGCCACCGCCCCGCGCAGTCGCGCTCTTCAGTTCGCCCATCCCTTCCTCACCTCGAGCACTTTGTCCAGCTGCCCCAGCTTGCCGTGCGCGCTGATCAGCGCGTTGCAGGTCGTGCTGTTGGCCGCAAAGCCCTCTGCCAGCAGCTCCTGGTGCACGCCCAGCGCCTCGCGCGGGCGGCTGCACATGTTGCACGCGATGATGAGCGTGTTGTAGGTGCGCAGCGCGGGGGCCACGCCCTGCGGGTTTGGCGCGGGGGAGCGAGGGCGCGGGGGAGCGAGGGTGAGGAGGAGGGGGGACGGCGGAGGAGCACCGGCGGCGGGCGGCGGGCGTGCAGGCAGAGTGCAGGCGCGCACAGGCAAGCAGCAGATTCTGGCTGCAGCAAACCCCAGCATGCGCACGCGACAGGGACAAAGACCGCGCCGCCTGCCGCCCCGCTCAGGCCCGCATCCCAAACCCCTTTTGCGGCCCACCTCTGCGCGCATGAGCTCGAGCACGCCCAGGGCGCGCTCCCACTGGCCCAGCTTGCCGTGCACGTCGATGAGCGTGTTGTAGGTCACCACGTTGGGGGTGCAGCCCTCGGCGCGCATGCTGTCGAATATCTCCAGCGCGGCCGCCATCTTGCCGCACTGCGGCGGCGGCGGGAGGGGGGTTGGGAGGGCAAGGTCGGCGGGTGGGCGGCGCGAGCGGGCCGCCGGGCCTTTGCTGTCCCCTCTACTGCTGGGACACGCGGCTCAGTGGCTGGCATATGCCGCACCATCAGCACCTGGCCTGGGAAAACACAGCCCCCGTCCCCGCAGCGGCGTGGATAACCCGCCAAAGACCCCAAACCCCGCGCCCTGCCGCGCGCACCTTGATGCACACGTTCATCAGCGCGGTGTAGGTGTGCACGTTGCGCTCCACGCCGCGCGCGCGCATCTCCTCGAGCAGCTCCACCGCGCGGTCCACGTTCTGCTGGTAGATGCACAGCGATATCATGGCTGTGTAGGTGTACACGTCGCACAGCGCGCGCAGCGGGTGGCGCTCCGGCAGGGCGCGCAGCCAGTCGAACAGCTCGATGGCGCGCTCGTCGAGGCCGGCCTTGGAGAGGTCTTTCAGCAGCAGCGCAGCCGCGCGGCTGTCGAGGCTGCGCAGCGCGCCGTGCAGGCGCGCGGGCAGCGGCTCGTCGCGCGGCAGGCGGCGCACGAGCGCGACCGCCTCGTCCACGGAGAGCGCGCCGCCGCCGGCGCCGCCGGCGGGCCCGCCGCCCGGCGCCGGCCCAGAGGGCGACGGCGGCGCGGCGGGGGCGCCGCTGCCGCTGCCGCCGCTGCCGCAGCTGGGGGACGCTGCTAGAGGCGTGCCGCCGGCGGAGCTGCCCGCGCCGGGCGTCGAGGGCGCCGCCGAGGCAGGCGCGGCGAGCGCGTTGGCGCCGCCACCGCTGCTGCCGCTGGCCGCGCCGCCGCTGCTGCTCGCCCCTGCCGCGCGCTGGCGATGGGCTGGCACCTTTCTAGACCTTCCAAACCACGGCACGCGGGCGGAGCTGAGGTCCTGGGGCAGCGCTGCGCCCCCCCAGCCCACGGCCGAGGTGCCGGCCTCCCCGGGCCCACGCCCTCCGCCGCCATGGCCCGCCGAAAAAAGCTTCTGATCGGCCAGGAACAGGCTGCGCAACTCAGCGCTGCCCGCCGCGTCCGGATGACAAGACATCGCCCCGGGCCTCGCTGCGCCGCGGCGCTAGGCCACGTCTAGTCGTGCCATGCCCAAGCCTACCCAAGCCGCTGCTCTCTGGTGCGAGCCCGGTGCGGGCGTGTGGACCCCTGCGAGGCTCGCAAAGGCGCTATCCCAACGTGTTCTGCGCTGCCTTGCGAAGATTGTTGAAAGCCTGGTCATGCGTTCTTAGTTCTGTGTGACGGAGAGCGGGGCGGAGCCCTGCATGGCGCTCCTGACCCGTGATGATCGTCTCCACGATTAGTAGCTCCCGTGACTCCTCGCGCCCTCACGGCGCGTACCGCGGTGCTTTCCGCGAACCGCACCGCCAGAAACTGTCCAAATCATTCGGAGAATTCATCCCACCCGGCGGCGGACGGCCAGGCCCGCCCGTCGGCGGCAGCGGCGGGCGTCGACGCGGCCGCGCCGCCCCCGCAACGACGCCCCCCGGACTTCGCACCGCGGCCGCGCGCGCGGACCGCCGCGGGCGCAGCGCAGGAGCCGGTCCACGTATGCGTGGCAGCCGGCTGGAAACACTGGTCAGAGAGTGCCAACGGCCTCGGTGCTGTGCTGAAGCAGCACGGCGGCCGCCGTGCGCGCTGCGCGCACTGCGGTTGAGACGCACAACGGCCCGGGCTCGGGCCGCGCCACAAGGATTCAGGATTTTACATTTCCTGCAGCTTTCTGGGCTTGCCCAGGGATCATAGGGGTGCGTCTGGGTTGCTTGTGGGCTGAAACAATGCCGTGTGCAAAGGCTGCCGCGTGCTCCTGGCCGGCATGTGCCTGCCGGGGCCCGAGGCGGCTCGCCTCCCTCCCTCCCTCCTCCCTCGCCGTTATCGCTGGGAAAAAGTTTTGCTACCATGGCGGAGCGGTCGAACGCGGCGGCCTTAAGATCCGCTCCTCTTACCCGAGGGCGCAGGTTCGAATCCTGCTGGTAGCAGTTTTAGATCGTATGCAATGTGCCGGTAATCGAAATTGTTGTTTTGTCACTTCCTGCACTCACCAACCCACCATGGTGTGGAGCCAGCACGACCAGTGCTGGTGCCGCCGCCCGCATGCCGCCACGCCGCATGCCTGTGCGCGGCGCATGGCATGGTTGGAGCGCCGCGGGACCGCAGGGCAGCATCTGCGGCGCTTGTGTGTCACACAGTTGAGCAGGCCAGCGCGCGGTTGCTGCGTGTGCTGCTCTTTGCCAACGACCTTGCCCTCTTCGGAGCTACGGAGCGGTGGAGCATGGGCAGCTGAATGCCCCTTGCCCAAACTGGCCCAGCGGCGGGGCAGCCCAAAGCAGCGGAGTATGTCCTGCTTTCGATCGCCGGGCGATCGCAAGCACAACGCCAACACAGCCGGGCACTACGCCACCACAGCCAGGCACAGTTTGACAAGCATGTTGCGCACCTCCATTTTGCAACAGCCGCCCCAGAAGCAGGGGCGCGCCCCGCCATGGCGCGCGCGCTGCAGCCGAGCTGCCAAACTCGGCGCCCGCTGCTCGCAGCAGTAGTGGCACCTGGCCGGCGGCCGGCCAGGGGTGCCTCATGCAGCCGCCACAACTTGGGCTTGAAGCCCAACCCCGCGTGCCCACCTTTTGCTTGACCGAGTGGCCGACCGAATAGCCGCGGAAGAGGCTGCCCCCGCTGCCACTGCCCGCCGCCTGCTGGCTGCCGGCTGCGCCCTGCACCAGCGAGCGCACCGCCGTTGGCGCACCGCTGGCCGCTGGCCGGGGATGCTGGGGATGCTGGTCCGGTAGTGGCATTGATGCTGCGCCACTTGCGCAGGCGAGCTGCCTGCGCTCTTGTGAAGCCACGAGTGCATGCGTTTAGGGGAGGCCAGCGGGAAAGTTCGCGCCAACCTGCCGTGCACGGGCGGGTGCACGCGTCCGCTCACATGCGCCACGCTTCGGCCCAGGCGCCGGGCATTGGCAGTGGGGTGCCAGCTAACATGCGGGGGCTGCGCCGGGAATGCAAAGGGCAGGTCCGGCGCCGCCGAGCTCTCCGCGCGCGGTGAGCTCAGGCCGCCAGCACGCGTCGCCCGACCGGCCATACATAGCGCCGCGCGCGCTGCCACAATATCCCTAGGTCTTCATTGTCGCAATGAGCAGGCGCCTTCGCCGAATGAGCTCGCGCCTCCTTCGGCAGTGACTCCCTCGACGCGGTCGCTGCACAGTCGCGCCCTCCTCCCCGCGGTTGGGTCTAGGGAGGGAGTGCAGAACCTAACCCTGCAACTGGCCTGCCGTGGGCAGACACGAGTGAGGGGACCGGCACGGCGGCAGCAGCGGCGGCGGCGGGCGCGCAGTAGTACTGCGGCAGTACCGTACGCGCGCTGCTCCGCCGCCTCGCCTGCTCGCGCAGCGTGGTGCGCCACAACCCAAACTTGGCGGCGCCGGTGAGCCCTGCGGAACGACGGCGCCGCAGCTGGGCGTGCCCTACACTTACCAACTCGGAACCAACCTCCAAGCGCGTGCGTTGGGGGCTGCGCTGCTTGGGGCTGCGCTGCTCGGGGCTGCAGTTGGGTGCACGAGCCATGCTGCTCATGGGGACCTGCGCGCTGCCGAGGACTCCGCCTCCCAAGGCCCCGGCAGCAGCGCTCATCAGTGGGCCTCTCAAGCTCTGCTCTTTTCGCTCCGCAAGGCGGCTGACGTTCCCCCCCCCACCCCCGCCCCCAAACACGCGCCCAAAAGCACACGCAGCTCGCGCGTGCACGTGCTGCAGCATCCCCACCATCACCCGCCAGCGGTGCGCCAACTAACGGCGGCGCGCTCGCTGGTGCGGGGCGCGGCCGGCGACCGGCAGAGTGTGAGCCTCCTGCGGGGGTGGCGGCGGGCAGTTGCAGATTCCGCGGCTATTCGGTCGGCCACTCGGTCAAGCAAAAGGTGGGCACGCGGGGTTGGGCTTCA